CAAGTTGTTGTTGTTATCCCCAAATCTCTCAGTGTACCTCAGGTTTGAATGAGGATGCTTTAAGAGCATTAGCCTGATCCCAAAAAGAAGCTTCTCAAAATCTTTATGAATTGGCACATTCAGGTTTGCCATGGTTGGATTGTACTCACAAGCTGTATGTGTGTCCCTCTGGATTTTGGATGGGGTATATGTGCCAGAGTGGGGAACATTGAACAGGTTTTGATGTTAATGTTGCAGTTGATTCTCACCATGGCATTAAGCTGTGCGTCCAGAGATTTGGTGTGTCAGCTGTTTGCCCAGACTGGAGCACAATGTTCATTGGTCAAGTACACCAGTGCTTGAGTTGCTGTTTGAAGTGTGTACATATCAGTACCCCATGTTGTGCCCCTGAGTTTTCGGACGAGGCTAGTCTTTGCTTTTACCTTTTCGCATGTCTTTTACAGATTAGCTTTAAAAGCCAAGCTTCTATTCAAGATTTTACCCAAGTACTTTGGATATTAATAAATAATAACAACAACTTGCATTTATACAGCGCTCTCAACGACGGGCGACAGCCCATAATATACTCCTTGCATTTTACATCACGTCGTTGTTGTGATGTCTCAAAGCACTTCACACAATATATTGTAAAGTGGATTGACTGTATATTTTGTGGGCAAAACTAAGGGTACAGCATGTGGATAGGGCACAGCATGTGGTTCGGGCTAATTTCTATGGAGTTCTGTAACATAACGGTTAGGACGCTCGCCTCGCAAATAAGGGGACCCGGGTTTGATTCCCGGGCTGGGCAAAACCTTAGGCAAGTTTCCTTATTCCACTCTGTTTATGTAGCAGTAAGTAGGAACCTGGTTGTTAGTCGATTGATGGATCGCTTTCTGGGGGTAATAATTCCTTAAAAAAAATTTTGGTCAATTGATCCACGACTGTTTGTGGGACACTGCTGAGTGGAATTGGCTGCTGCGTTTCGCCCACAAAATATACAGTCAATTCACTTTACAGTATATTCTGTGAAGTGCTTTGAGACGTCTCCATGTCGTGATAAGGCACTGTATCAAATGCTATTATTATTTTGGAACCGTTGACCTCAAAGGGTGACCTTACGTGGTTCCTTGGCAGCTTTGTTCTTTTAGGTGAAAGGCCGTTACCAAGGTGTTGGAGGCGTTGTGATTTTCTGTAAAGTCACTGTGGAAGCAGAAGCAGTAAAATGTTCAGAATCTGAAAACCTCCTGCTTTGTTCGTAAGATCTTTTAATGAAACAAATCCCAAACTATTTGTTTAAAAAAAGGCTCTGTTTTCATCTTCAATGACAGCTTTTTGGCAGTATTAGCAGACTATAATTCTCGCCTCCTGTTAGTAACTGGCATGTTTAAATATGTAAATATCTATCCAAGGCACTTGAGGCAGGCCTATTTTTTTTCGCAGCAGCTGCTGCTGAAATGAAAAAGGAAAACCGAGTAGCCACGCAATAATTCTGTCTCCCCTGCTTATTGGCACGTGGATGGAATCCTAGTATAGTAAAGGGGGAGTCACAGAGTGGGGAAGTCGCCAATTACACTGGAGCAGGGTAAGCCTGAGTTTTAGATGATGCTACGCTGCTTCCCATGTCGGAGATTAAAGAGAAAAACTGCCTGCCTCGTTGTGTTGACATTAACGCTACTTTGTTTGTCGATTTTCCCCTAAACCCTTAGTATGCTAATCCCACAGCCAAAAACAGAGAGTAACAAAGTTGAGATAAATTCACGAACCTTTTGACCCATTTGGAGTCATCCTTCTAGAATATCCAATCTGTGTTCTTCCCATTACAGAGTCCAGCTGTTTTCTAAATGAGGACATTGTCCTGCCCTCAACCGCCCTTATTAATAATCCATTTCACCTACACAATTCCTTTCACCTGCATTTTGTGCATCATATTGTATTTGTTGTTGGTCTTAATCGGGAACTAACTCACAGTCCAAATTTAGATATTCTTTTGTATTGAATATGAGTTGCCCAGGTGTGTGGGATGTAGACCCCCGGCTGATAGTGCTCGATGCCAACATCTATGGAATTGGGTTGTGCATTCAACTGATGGTTAGTGGGATCATGACTTTTACTGCGCAAAACAAAAATGAATAAAACCACTCTTCTGTTAACCAGCAATCTAAGCAAGAAAGTATATTTTCAACCCAGCTTGATGAATGACAGCTTCGAAATGGGACAAATGTGGGGTGGGCAGGGGGGGAGGAGGCAGTCTGCCTGTGACGCATCTAGGTAATTTATGATGACAACTCATATTTGTTTAGCACCCTTCCTACGGGGTAGCATCTCATGGCTACTACATTTATATATATCATTTATATAAATCATTTATATTAATGTTTTTTAAGATTTTTTTTACTTTCCAGTACAAGCCAGATACCATTAATAAAATTTGATGCATAAATTGTATCTTTTTGTTCTTGCATCTTATTGTATTTTTGAATTACTTTTTCTGTAGTATTAAGTAACTTCAGATTTTCATTAATTTTAACTTTTAAGTACTTGGACAAACTAACCTACGAATTGTTTTTATGTGTGTCAAAAATTGCTTTGATGTTTTTATTTGGATTATTATTTTGTGTAATAAGATAAATGCACAACAATGAGAATGCAACAATGTCAATCTTTATATGATGGAGCAATATAGAGCATATGCTCTGGCTCTGCAAAATAAATTAGAAATGGTGCAGCACTCAGAAAAAAGGCACAAAAATGAACTTGTAACCTGCAAATGTCGACAGGAGTAGTATTTAATTGGAATGCCTACCGAAATCGCATTTAACTAGAATATACGTACAGCAAAAGATAATATTTAGTTTGACTTCAGATTAAGTGATAAGATTCCCATACAAAGGGGATTTTGTAAGAGGGAAGAAGGAAACGCCATCCTTTTACAGTGTAAACTGCCAGGCTTTCAGGGTGACTCTTGTTTGCGCATGTAGCATACATTTCTATATGAAGAGGTTCATTGACCTAGGAATGAAAAGACTGTTGTATAAGGCGCACGGAGTAAAGGAAAGACTACTGTTCAATGTAATATGATTGCTGCTACAGTTATAATTAGAGCAGTATCTACTGCCTTGCATGCTAGAATATACTGACCACTGCTTCCCTTATTTTCTTATTTTTCTACACTTTTTTAACAGTCCTATTGCATGGTTGGTTGTCAGTTGTTTTTAAATAAAACATTAGCGAAGATATACAATGGTATATTTATAAATGTTTTTTTTTACTATGTGAAATTTGACTTAGAAGGAAGAATAGTTACATTTGGATGACTGAGATGCTGAAAGTGCGTGTAGACTTCATATGCTATCAATTTCACCATGATTTATGTAGCAGAAATTTGGTCTTTAGACCTATTTTGTTAAATAAACATTCTGACTGAACCACAGAGGTATATACTCAGTGCTAATTATAGATTTTTGGGGGGAGAACGCAGTTTGATTTATGCTTATATTGACATTGTTTTATACAAAAATAAGTTGTTTCACATTTAGAATTTTTTAATCTTTTCCTCAAGCAGCTCAGCAATATGCAGTTTCCTCAAGATCGTCGCTTACTGACCCACACTAAAATCTGTACACCGATCACGCCAGTCCTTGCCAGGCTCCACTGGTTCCCACCACTGAACGCATTGATTTCAAGGTCCTTGCACTTGTCTTCAATTCCCTTTATACCCTGACACCTCTCTACCTCTCCGACCCATTTACTCCCAAACCCACTACCCGTCGCCTCCACTCGACTGGCTCTGGCCTCCTGTTTGTCCCTTGTGGTCTCCGTTACACCATTGATTCAGCCATTACGCCCCAAAACTCTGGAACACTCTCCCTCAATCCCTCCACCTTGCCCCCTCCTTCCCCATTTTCAGGTCACACCTCGACAGTGTTTTCTCTTTGACCTCCCCCTGGCTCGGCCTCATGCTCCACTACTGTCAAGTGCTCTGAGATGCTCCTCTGTGTGAGGGCCCAAGTTTTTCATTGTTGTTGTTTGTTTACAGTAAATGCTGTGCATCTCGAGATGTGCTGAGGCACTATTTTGATGCAATTATTGTTATCCCTCTTCTGTCTTGTGTCCACAGTTTATACTTCTCCCTCAGTTTATACCTCTGTATTTGTCGATATTAAATGACACTTGCCCCCCGTCATCCCAACTCCCTAATCTTTCCAGTTCCCTCTGTATTTAGCCATCCAGCTCCTCTTTGTTTGCAGCTCTTCCAGTTTGGTATTCACAACAAATTTAGGAAACTTGTTTTTATACCCTTTCCACATCTCTCAGATATGAAATAAAAGTTTAGAAAATAATATTTAAAATGATAATGGGAGAGGGGGATTATATGGGAAGACAAAGAGAAATGTTTGAACTTTTACATAATATTGATTCTTATGCTAGTGTAGGGTTAATATTGCAGGATTAAGTGTTGTTACCTGAACATTTCATTTTATAAAAGGAACAAGTTGAGAAGATATGGAATACTTTTTTGTTGCCCATCCCTGTTTTAAGTAGTTGATGGATGACAGTTGCTGAACAACAGACCAATTAGCCTTGTTCAACATTGCACAATTAGAACTTTGTATTTTAAGCATTGCAAAGTATTCTTTTTAAAAAGGTCATAACAACTGGTTGTGTAATAACATTTCTCCTCATCTCCTCTCTGGTTCTTTTGCCAATTGTCTTGAATCTGTGTTCTCTGATTACCGATCGACCCTCCAGTGGAAACAGTTTTTCCTGTTTACTCTGTCAAAACCCCTCATAATTTTGAACATGTCTCTTAAATCTGCCCTTAGCCTTCTCTACCTTAAGGAGAACAATCCCAGCTTCTCTAGTCTCTCCTCATAACTGAAGTCGACATTGACTTTGAACAATTTGGCCTTGTTTTGTGATGGATTATGTGTGAGACAAAACACTTTTTAAAATTGTTTTTGTAGTTTTATTGAATGGATTCTATCCTATTAATGTATTTGGTTTCTGTATAATTGAAGGTGCAAGGTCAAGTTCGTCATGCAAAAACTCACTTTGACAAACTGAAGAATGATGTGTGCCAAAAGGTGGATCTACTTGGAGCAAGTCGTTGCAATCTTCTCTCCCACATTTTAGCAACATATCAGGTAAAAAAATGAACTTTTATAGAATCTAATGCTGTTAATTTAAATTAGAAATTATTTTACAACTTTATTAACTTAATCCTGCACCCACCAAGATATTTATAAAATAAAACATACGATTGGAAATCTGACAGGGCTCTTAAGTAGTTAATGAGCTTCCCATAAATGCAGAATAAAAATGTACTTCTGTTAGCAATCCACACTCTTTGGAACCAATATTATATTTATGTTGCATTTGTATGTTTACTTAAACCTTTAACAGTGCAATAAGACAGTGCTCTGCTAGGCTTATGGGGCTGCCAAAGATTGTTCTTTCATCATGTAGTATATTTTGGCTTTTTTTACTATAACAATTTTAAGGCTGAAGACTGTTTTAAGGTTGTTTGGAAACTGGTCATTGAAGCTGCTATGTCAATGAATGGACAATTTTTTTTAGAACTTGCACTAACATACAAGAAGAAGAATAAAGAATAGTAAAGGTGGGATGAAACTAATTCATCGTATATCTAGAGGTTTCTTGCTTTAAAATGTTAATTAAGGCGCAAACCACTATCTGTTGCCATGCAAGATTAGATAAAACAAAATGGATGATGAATCACTTTACAATCACCTACCACCAAAATAAAATGATAGGGATAGAATTTAATTTGGCTTTCTCTTTGGGGAATTATCATCGGCCTGACATTTGTATTTTTTAATAGCTAACTATTACACTGGAAGTTAATTAGCAGTTCACTGTTACAATGAAAGTTAAATTGCAGATCACTGTTACGATGAAAGCTAATGATTCTGTATTTCACAAATGTTGTTCAGGTCCTATTTAATGTTGATATTCAAAAATAATTTTTTTGTTCAAGAACAAATTTGCAACTCTGCAAATTCAGTGCATGTTTTCCTAGTTTCTGGATTATGCAGGGAATAGTAGTTTTAATCTATTGTAAAGTAGAAATAATGTACCCATGCCATTAATCCACGCACCAATTACCCACAAGGCTGTTTAACTGCAGAGGCTTCCTGGGTGGAAGTTTCATGTGGGACGAAGAGATACCAGAAAAAGTACTGTTGAGCTAATTTGCAAAGTTGCTGACTTGGAGCCAACATTGTACGAATCTAAACAAACTTCCACAACTTTGCATATATGCATTAGTAATGTCTTTTTCCAGTCAAGGAAAGTAAACCTTTAGAATATTTGCAATATACAATAGATGTTGTAAAGATGAAGGAAAAAAGAAAGTTCGAGAGATGGCTAGATTTACACATTGTGTTTTTCCTTCTGAGTATCTCTGTTTCTTTCTGTCAGAGTAAAAGAGAAAGAATGAGTCAGAAGAAAGAGTCTGAGAGAAAAAGCTTAAAACAGATGAGGAACTATAGCTCCTGATTGAACTTTTTTGTTTGTTAACACAGTAGACAATTTGTATTTAAGTGCTCCAAGACGCTACCGTGCGTGAAGGGTGTTATATATAAATGCAAATTGTATTTTGCGTGATGTCCAATTATCCACACTGTTTGATCAACTGCTGATTTCAATTAGAGCTGATAATCAGTGCTCTACTGTATATAACTTCATATAACTTCATTTTTGGTAGAGATTGGTTTAAATTTAGTGTCCAATTATGTTTAAAATTTTCTCTCCATCATGTCTCGGCTCCTAGTCTAGTCTTCTCTGGCTGGGTACAGTTCAACGAGTACCTGTTGCCCTCAAGTGGCAATTCGATAAGTGTGAGTTTTGTCAGTGAGAGCAGAGAGTCAGTCAGTGAGTCAGTTTTTGTCAAGACTCCCCACCTGACTGCCACATACCTGCACAACCAGTAGAGGGATGAGGAGCAAGAATCCAGCCTGCTTTTCCCTTCCCAAACCCTCAGAAGGCCAGAACCAATTTAGTACTACCATGCAGCCCAACCTGAAACGAGGCAGCTCAGCATGGACCAAGGTTCAAAGCAGCGAGTCGCTGGTCCACAAACTGAAGCTGTACCCACTAAATCATCAGGGCTGCTCTATGTAAGCCCCATCTTATTTCCTTACCAGATTAATTTTTAACTGAACGAATTAAATGTCTTTATTGTTAGAGGTTCCCCACTTTTCAGCGAGTCTATGATGGGAATAAAAATAAAAAACAAAAATAAACATGAGAGGGCTTACTTGCCTTATTTCTGTTTTTTGACGCTATACCCATTAAAGCCTTATTATCTGGGGATAAATAGCCAAACACTGACCATTGGCAGTTAGATTAAAACAGAACAAAGAAAACTCTGGTTCTTATCTGTGTTGTTAACATTTGCAGATGACATCAAACTGGGAATCATGGTGAACAATGAAGGGGATAGGCTATAAAAAGACCAATGAGGTTTTCGGCTTTATAACCAGACTGGTAGAATATAAAAGTGATGTTGAATTTATACAAAACTATGGTTGAACCAGATTTAGACTGTATTGTCCAATTCTGCTCTCCAAACTATAAGAAGAATATAGCAGTGATGGAAAGAGTACAGTATAGGTTTGATAGGTTTCTACTATGAGGTTAGATTGAATAGGTTTGGCCTTTTTTCACTGGAGAAGAGACATTTAAGGGGGTAACCTAATAGCAGTGTTTAAAAGGGTTTTGATAAGATTAACATAAATAGGCTGTTTCCATTGGTTGGGAAGTCCGTAACGAGGGTACACTAGTATAAGATAGCGACCAGGGGGTCTAGAAGAGAATTTAGGAGGAACTACTTCATGCCAAGGGTAGTGAGATTGTGGAGCTTGCTGTCTGAAATGGTGGTTGAATTAGTTAGTATATATGCATTCAACAGGAAGCTAGACCTTCACTTGAGGGAGAGGGAATAGAAAGGTGTGAGAGGGAGTAAGGAATGGGTGAAGATTGGTGTGGAATATAAACACCAGCACGGACTGGTTGGGCCGAGTGGCCTCTCTCTGTGCTATATGGTCTTTGTAAATCTTCCTAATCTAGGACCTGTATTTCAGGACCCTTCAGAACCTGTCCGCTCAGCAGGCTCCAGCCTGCTCCTTGTCCCCCGCTCAGCCCGCCCCACCATCGGAGGTCGGGCCTTCGGGCTTCTCCGCCCCCACCCTCTGGAACTCCATCCCACATTCCCTTTCAACCTCACTCACTCCCTTGCCTCATTCAAGGCCCGCCTCAAGATCCTCCTCTTCGACCGTGCCTTCGGCCACCCTCCTACCCTCTTTGTCCTCCACCCTCCCTGACCACCCACCCGCTGCTCAGGTCCCAATCCCTAAATGTTCAGAGCCTTGGGATGTCCTCCTGATGTGAAAGGCACTTTACAAATGTAATTTTGTATTGTATTACAATGCTTGTTTTCTTCTGATTTAATTTACAGACGACACTGCTCCATTTCTGGGAAAAAACATCCCACACAATGGCAGCTATCCATGAAAGTTTCAAAGGCTACCAGCCGTATGAATTCGCTATGTTGAAGGTAAAATCTTATCTGTATTTTCCATTGCAATGTATCAGTTGCAATTGGTGCGAGATTGTTCAAATACTACAGTTGTTGAGGACTTGCATGTGCAGTTTTCCAATTCAAGAATTGTATTGCATTAAAGCGTATGCATTATGGTGCATTAGAAATGTTTAATGGGAAAGATACACAAATTTAATACATGAACCAGTGAGGTTCGGAATGAGTTCCTGGTACTTCTATGCACTCAGCGAGGGCTCAAACCTGTACTTATCGAAAGCCTAATCACGTAGTGACCTGAGGCTCAGGTGGCTCCAAGGTGGCGTGGCCGGTAATGGAATATTGGAAACAAGTTGATCCTCTGAGGGCAAAGAGCTTTATTGCATTTGATAAAGCACCTTATGTTGTCAAGTCAGTTCAAAACATTTCACAAGATTTACTGCAAAGTGTAGTGACTGGTTTGTTTGCTCTGGTTATACAATTGTCTTTTAGTACCATGCTCAAGATGGACTAACAGGAAGACTATAGCAGGAAAAATAGGCTCCTTTGATTTGAGTTGTTGCAGGTGAACTTGGAAAGCTCAGATGGATGACTTCAACATGAGGCCCTTTGCCAAAAGAATAAATTGTGTTCTTTGAGCTCATAGTCTAAACAGATACTCTGGTGAAGTGCTGGGGGAGTGCTGTGTCCATGTATGTCTCCAGCAGTGGGGCTAAGCGTTTGCCAACAAATTACATTTTCTACTTAGTAATGCTGTTTGTGATCAATATTCACTGCTCTTCACTGCTCTTATTGTTCAGTAATTGAAAAGACTTTGTAGCATTTTATCAATATGTACACCAATGAAACCAGCCATGATTACTGCACTCTATTTTCAAGTGAGGCAATAGTCTACAGGGAATAGTAATAATAATTCTTGTATTTGATATTGTACCTTATCACATCACCAGAACATGTCAAAGTGCTTCATGGGATTTTGCTGCAATGACTATATATTTGTAGGTATACATAGCCCAAATTTTCACACAGCAATGTCCTACAAAAAACGCAAAATGAATAACACAATTTTATTTGAGAAATTCTTGCCCAGGATATTGGGGAAAAACTCCCTTTTCTTTTTGAAGAGTATCACTGTGTCTTTAATATTCACCTGAACCGACAGACAAGTTTGACGTTGTATCAAATGTCTAATAATCAAATGGTGACTTGAGGCTGAGGTGGCTCCAAGGTGAGAGTGTCTCTGGCATTGCAGCATTTCGCCAACACTGCATTAGACTGTCAGCCTAGACAATGAGCTCGAAATCCCAGCTTGAGGCATAAACTTCAGAGGTAAGAGTGCTACCGACTGAGCCAGGCTAATATCTGATGAGTAACAATGAGTAATGCTGTTACATAAACGGTCTAGCAAACTGTCATTTGGAAACAATTTGTCATATTGTTGTTTCTGCACGTCATGCATTGCTGTCAACAATAACTTTCAGCACAGTGTAATGCAGGTACAACAACAACAACTTGCATTTATATACTCTTCACGCAGGGGAGAGGAGTGGAGTGTGAACAGGTTGAAGAGGTAGGGAGGTGCCAGGATATGAAGTGATTTATTTGTAGGTGAGTGTGAAGATCTTGAATTGATCCCTCCTATCTCTCTGACCTGATGACTCCCTACCAACCTGCCTGCTCCGGCCGGCTCCATGTCTCGTGCCCGACCCACTCTGGGCTTTCAGCCTCTCTGCCCCCACGCTCTGGAACTCCATCCCACGGTCCCTTCACCTCGCTTCCTCCATTGCCTCCTTCAAGGCCGGTCTCAAGACCCTTCTCTTTAACTGTGCCTTTGGTCGCCCTCTCAACTCTCTGCCTTATCCTCACCCCTACACCACCCCTCCCCCATGCTCGGGCCCCGACACCTGACTGTTCAGCGCTTTGGGACTTCCTCCCAACGTGAAAGACGCTCTATAAATGCAAAGCCATAAAGCCATGATCCATTATGTGACAGAGAGGCAGTGGAGCCTGGCAAGGACTGGGATGATGATTTGAATTAGTTGGACTGTGAATGGTGGAGTTAGAGAGACTGTCGAGGATTTCATTGGAGAAATTGAGGTGGGAGTTGACCAAAGTCTGGATGTTCAACTGCATATCCCAACCTGAAAGATTTTCTCCAACCCCAATCCACCTCAGAGCAGAGGTTTCACAAATCAACACTAGGTACATGTGTTCTCTGCACAAGGCTTTAGGTTCCAAAATCCTTTTTTCAGCATTGACCAGCATTTCAGCTTAGCCTGTGCTCTCATCATTTATGCTGCAATCCACTCAAATGCATCTTTAACCACTTTGAAAATTGTGGCAGGCTGTTCAAGTCACAGTTACTGCACCATCAACCTACTCAATGGCCCTATAATATGTGGTGATTGATTGATAGACTCATGTTGGGGACAGGTGTGTGTGTGTGCCACGTTGGGACGTCCTCCCGACGTGAAAGGTGCTCTATAAATGTAATTTTTGGCATTTCCAAGTAGATATTTTCTTGCTTGCATATTCAAGTAGAAACCACAATGTAAGACTATTAAAGCTAAGAAAATTAAATCAGCTCACTGCTCCTGCTACTTTTATAGGAAAAATGCACCAAAAAAGTGAGACTTAAGAAATCATTTTGTTCATCTTATGTTGGAATTCATTGGCAGACATTACTGCTCCATTTCATTTTATTCCGAGCCACACATTGCATGATGATTCTGCTGCTGTGATTACACCAATGTGTATAATCATGTTAACTTTCCCTGTGGTTTAGGGTGGAAAACCAAAGATCAGAATATAATAATAATCCTTGCATTTGATATAGTGCCTTATCATGTCTTTGAGATGTCTCAGAGCACTTCACAGAATATAGAATAAAGGGTAGTGACTATATATTTTGTGGGTGAAATGCGGCAGCCATATGTGCACAGCAGTGTCCCGTAAACAGTCGTGGATTGAGTGGCCAAATTATTATTATTTTTTTGAAGGGAATATTACACCCGGAAAGCGATCCGCCAATCGACTAACAAGTGGGTTCCTACTTACTGCTAGATAAACAGACGCGTATAGAGTAAGGAAACTTGCCCACATCTTAGTGTTTTTTTTCATCATCTCATCGTATGGTCATTGTTGTGTGAATGTTTCACCCATGATTCTAGGGACGGTCGCGTCATTTTTAGCATTAAGGAAATGACACCACCTTGCTTTATGTGAAATTGGTTGATTGCATTTAGACAATTAATTATATTTAGAAAGCAACAAAGGTTATTTTATAATATTTCAGCATTGACCAGTATTTCAGATGAGCCTGTACAACACTGACAGGATTCAAGACTTCTGTAAATAATTTCAGAGGATTATTATTGCTTTTCATTGGCTGTTAAACTTTAATACTAGCTTGAGGTTTATTTCTTCATGGATTTTCAATTTCCTGGTTTGTTCACTGATTTATCTCATGCCTATTTGCAAAATTAGCTCCCATTTTTCTCCCCTTCCATGCTCTGGTCCTCCTTTCTCACTCCTCCTATTGTGTATATATGCACATATAATGGGATAGATCACATGCTTATGGTTATCAGATCATAAATATGGCTATTTTAGAATTAAAGAACAAGTATGTTTAGTCCACAAGTACGATACAGAATCATAAGTTTTGTGGTACAAGCATTGCTCAAGCTGCTGTTAACAATTCACTATTGGTGGTCAGCATCACTTCATAAGGAAACTAATAGCAACTGTGTAAACTGTTTAAGCCTTTATATTACATTAAAGAAATTAGACATGTTATATAGAATTATACAAACTTACAGGACCGAAATAAGCCATTCAACCCAACTAGTCAGTGCCAGTATTTATACACCACATGAGCCTCCACCTACCCTAATTCCCTTCTCCCTAATGTCATCATTTGTGGAGTCCTGTAGCTCAGTGATTAGAGCACTCGCTTTGCAAGTGAGAGACCTGAGTTCAATTCCAGGCAGAGGGCGAAACCTTGGGCAAGTTTCCTTACGCCACACGCCTAATAATCCCTCCAAAAACCAAAAAAAAAATAATAAATTGGTCATTTTCAATCTACGACTGTTTGTGGGACATTGCTGTGCACAATTGGCTGCCGCGTTCGCCCACAAATATACAGTCAATTCACTTTACAATGTGTTTTGTGAAGCGCTTTGGTACGTCCTCCCGACGTGAAAAGCGCTATATCAAATGCAAGGATTATTATTATTATCATTTGAGTTTTATCTCGAGACGTACCTCTTTGACTGCATCTTCGGCATCTTTCTCCTCCCACTCAGCTCCCACTCTCAGGCCGGATGTCCAGCACTTTGGGACGTCCTCTCGACATGAAAGACGCTATATAAATGTAAACTTGGTGTATGCATATTTCACAACTTTGTATCTGTGTGCTTGGTTTGCAAGTTGGTAAAGACAAAATAGTAAAGTGTCCAATGAAGTTCAAAATGAAAATTGGAGGGGAGGGAGCGAAGAAGTGTCTCAGACTTGGTAAGGTTTACCCCTTAGTGTGAAAAATTACAAAACTGATTATCTGTATTGTGTCTCTCGCCTGCTGTGAAAATCTGCTGTGCCACTTTCACAGTAAAAAAAATTGTAAACCATGCTGGTAAAATTGTCTTCTGTTGTGTGTAGCTCTCTGCTCTCAGTAATCTGGGGCAGCAGCATATTGGAGCAATAGCATTCCAAGAAAATGAATACAGCAGTTATGTTTTAGAAATAAGTGGACGAAAACATCTGATTTTAAGTAAGGAAATTATTCCTGCCATTAAACGTCAATCTCAGTGACCTACTTTCATGAAACACTTCTATGACAGTTTCATGGACTTTTGCTCATTGGTCTGGTAAGACTTGGCGAGCTGCCTTGGTCTGCTAAAATTCCGGCAGCAGCACCCACTTTAAAATCAAATCCCTCCTCAGATCAATTTGTTCAGATTTCCGAAACTAAATATTAATTTCTCCCTTCCACTCTTTCTAAGATAATATTCCTAACT